ACTATTTTTTTATTCACCAGTATAAAGACAAAGGTTCCAGCGAAAAATTGTTTAATGCTTCAAATAGAGAAGAAAGGTAGAAGATATCAAAGGCATAGTGACAAACTCATAAACCGAAAATGGACTGACAATGCCATGGCAAAAAAACAAAAACGGCCAAAAGGTGAACAACAGCCTATAATAAAGAGCTGCGCCATTAGCGCATGATACGCCCGTCGCCTTTTCAATGAATAATGCTTCATAACTCCTCAATGTCATATCAGAAATTTATAAAAAAACTAAAGGGAGGTTACTTTAATAGATATAAACCAGTCACCAAAGTTTCATGAAAACTGCTCAATGCACTTTTCAGTTATTGTCCAAAAACTGGAAAACCCCCCTTTTCTTATGAATAAAACACCATAACTCGGAAACGAAAAATCTAAAATTTATATAACTCGAAAGGGAGCTCATGTCAATAGATATAAACAATTCACCAAAGTTTCATGCAAATGCGTATAAGCGTTTTTGAGTTATTGTCCGACATGTTGACGACGGACGGACAGATGGTCAGACAGACGGACAGACAACGGAATACCATAATACGTCCCGTAAACGGGCGTATAAAAAAGTATTTATTTAGCATGATTTAACAAAATTTATGACTTTCTTCATCAGTAAATAAACAATTTGACATTTTATTATTGTCACAATACCCCATTCACAGTTGGAGAGGTTGGCATGTATGAATGAATGGATTCCTTTTGGGAATCTTGTCCTTTAATGGCATCGTCATTTTTTATGAATATTCTTCAAGTGGATCAGGGTCAAACCTGTTTACTCTTTAGTTTATTTTTTTAGTCCTTATTCTTTAGTTCTATTTTTATGTATCTTTGTATTTACAATTTGTAATTTGATAGGTTTAGATTTAATATATATACATGTATATATAGTTTGCCCCATATGTCTGTAATATATTAAAATACAACTTGAAAACTTTTATTCGTAAGCAATTCAATTATACAATATTGCATACAGATTATATATTTTATTTTCAATGGAAGCTTCTGTGCATCTTATATGTGGTTTTGGGTGCATGTTTTAGTCCGACGCATTTTTAGTAACCATAACAAACGAGTGATGCCGCAATGTGCACGTCAGTTTTACCCACTAACAGTTCCACTCTGCAATTTACCTTTTTGAAGTTATACCATTCGTATTGATTTTATGACCAATTGATATTCATATAGGAAGAAAAAAACCTACCTTTGGTTTCGACGTATTCAATCTGATTATGAAACGAAATTGCGTCCTCTATGGATGCATGCATACACAAGTTCATAATATTTTAGTTCACTGTTGTCAAACTTTGCTTTTGATGTATAAATTTTTTGCGAACTTGGTTTATATTACTGTCTAAAATTTAAATCGTTTTTTCACTTTTTTTTATTCAAACGCATCAAAAGTTTTTAACTTTTCACCCCTGAAGAAAATTTGCTAATAGGAATAACTTCGTCCATTGTTCAAAATACAATGACAGCAATAAAGGTAAGTGTGCAATTAAATACAAAGAAGTGAATATTTTTCTTATAAATATCGAACAATTGATCTACATTCTTCGCCTTTGACACTACTAAACTATTATCTTTAAGAACATAAAAACAATTAATACTCAAAAACTATTTAAACATTATTTGAAATTATAATAATAATAATAATGATAATACTAATAATGATAATGATAATAATAATAATAAAATAATAATAATAATGATAATTATCAAGCATATCGGAGAATTCAGCAACAAAACTAAAGTCAAAGAAAAGTTTAATAAATCTTACGTAACAATAATGTAACCGTAGACACAGATATGTTTGTTACGTTCGTATTTAATCGGTTCCTAACCCAACCTAGCATTCCGGTAATTAAGGTATAACGTAACAAAAGTTATTGTTACGTTTTCAACGTAATCGTAGCCAGTGCCTTTAAAATTTGTTACTATAAAGGCAGCCCTTAATAGAATAGAATATGTGTACCCAAATCACAGAGTGATAATGACCATATAGTTACTGTCAAAGAAGAATCTGCATTTGTAGGAGAATATGGTTTTGAGAGAGGGCTAAGTTCAAGAATATTTGGTGCAAGCAATCGCCTAGACAGATCATTTACTTAAAACAAGAATGTGTCCATAGTACACGGATGCCCCACTCGCACTATCATTTTCTATGTTCAGTGGACCGTGAAATTGGGGTCAAAACTCTAATTTGGCATTACAATTAGAAAGATCATATCATAGGGAACACGTGTACTAAGTTTCAAGTTGATTGGACTTCAACTTCATCAAAACTACCTTGACCAAAAACTTTAACCTGAAGCGGGACAGACGGACGAACGGACGGACGAACGAACGGACGAACGAACGGACGAACGAACGCACAGACCGAAAAACATAATGCCCCTCTACTATCGTAGGTGGGGCATAAATATGTACAGTCTAGACGAAATTCAACTATCTCGTTGAAGATGTGGTGATTCAAAATATCACTGGTTAAGGGATTGTCCACAGAAAACATATTATGTAAAATTGACAGAAGACAAACAAAAATAAGAAGTACATCTGAAACTGTAAACAAAAACAAAACACTACACATTAAGAAATTGTTGTAGAAAGTAAAATAACAAAAATACCGAACTCCAAGGAAAATTCAAAACGGAAAGTCTCTTATCAAATGGCAAAATCAAAAGCTCAAACACATCAAACGAATGGAAAATATGGAATGTAGCTGATGCATTTGATGCTTTTGTTGTTGATACAGCATGTACCAAAACAGTGTGTGGATCTAAATGGTTACACCAATTTTTACACGTGACTTTCAACTCTGAAAATGAAGAAATAACATGCAAGAAAAGTCATACATCTTTCAAATCTGGTGATGGTTAAACAGTGTGTTCATATCAAAGTATAAAGTTACCTGCCACAATTGGCTCTTTAAATTAGTACATAGAACAGTTGATTGTGATATATCTCTATTATTGAGCAAATATTCTTTCAAAAGAGCGCAAACAGTTCTTGATCTCCGTATTGATAAAGTGACTATGCATTTCACTTCAAATGGTCGGTACTGCATAAACATTAAAGATAGGTGATCTGGACAGAAAGATAAAGTAGTTAGTGAGATTATACCAAAAACTGTATAAACAGTCAGATGGTCATGGTTCATCTGAAAAATTATTATCCCTATTGAATTTGCTCCAAATGCATTGCTTGTTTCAAGTTTCATCGTCCCAAGTCAAAGCCAGTGGTGGCCTTCTCCCATGCAAATGATTTTAATCAATTTATTGATACGGATTTACCTGAAATTGGTCATAATTTTTACTACTTGCACATAATTGACTTATTTAGCCATTTAAGTACAACAACCATTATCAGGAAAAAAGATTCAAAGTTAATTATTGACATATTTATGCAAATATGGGTTAGTGTATATGGTGCTCCTGAATTTGGAGTATTCACAGACAATGGTGGTGAATTCAATTCTCAAGATTTTCGTGATATGTCTGAAATTCTAAACATGTCAGTTAAAACAACAGCAGGATACAGTTCCTGGTCAAATGGAATTGTAGTAAGTCATAATTCAACTCTTAACTGAAACAGTTAACAAAACCAGAGAAATTTAAAATCTATCTTAGGAAACTACCATAAGCTGGGCTGTGAATGCCAATAATAGTCTTGTGAATGTGTATGGATCACTACTTCATAGTACAGCCCGAAGAATGCCCTCTGATTTGAGGGGATCTCAAATTACACAACTGATTAGCTTCACAGTTTGAATTGAAGTCCTTTCAGTTTGTTTATAATGAGTGACCCCAGATGTTATACATTGATTATCTGATAAGAAAGTCATCATTTTGGCATTTTCTGCTAGTTCTTGCAAATATCTTTTTGTCAAGTTATTTTTATATTTTCAATATTGTATTCTTATTGGATCATTTATCAAATTGTTAAACTTGACTGTCCTAAGATAGCTTTGTACTACATCCTAAGACATGTCTAAGACACGTTCTAAGACCATCACAAATAATGTTCCAAGACATATCTTAGGACATATCCTAGGATACTTTCATTGACATTGCCCCAGCATGCCATTTGTGTTTATTTGATATCAGACAATGAAAGTAACAATGAAGCAGAAGAAATTGGAAAGTCAGGTAGGTGACTCTGAACTAGAAACGGATAATCCTGTGAATCAAGGGCAAAAATCTGAAGTAGAAAATCAGACAGGAGGTGACTCTAAACTGGAAAATGATAATCCTCTGAATAAAAGGCATGAAATTAATATGGATCATTAATATACTACAGTGACAGAACAGAGCAACGAGCAAGCAAGTTCTCAAGTAGACAGTAGTAGACTTAGTGTTGATTAAAAGACTATTTAAGTTATACTTTTAAAAACGAACCAAAAGGTGAACTTTGATAATCCACAGGGAGTTATTCTGATTAGAGTTGGTAAAGCATCTACAAATATTAAGAATTGGTAAATTAGAAGACATCAGAGGTAACAAAATGTCAATGAATAGCCTTAAGTACAGTTGATGAATTGGAAGTCGTAAAGTCAGACAAAGATCAGGATATATAGAGGATGACGAGGAATCAGAAGCATTCTTTAATCAGATTGATGCTCAAAAAGCTGAACTTGAAAATTCGAAGAGACATAATGTTTATCAAATTGAGGACTTTTCTCAGTCATACTGTATCCACTAGATGGACACATCTACTTCAGAAAAACTCCTTCTATCAATAATAATGCAAAAGAAATAGTCCATCAATTCCATTGACATTAATACTGCCTTTTTGCAAGGAGAGAAAATGCATAGAAAAGTTCATCTTTGTCCACCTTAGGATGCTAATGCTAAATGGAAAAGTCTGGCTTTTAGAGAAATGTGTATATGGCCTTGCAGACGCTTTATTTTCTGTCACATTCATAGAAGTAAAAAAATATGTTTACATAGTCCTATATACCTGTGTTTATTTCCTCAGATGCATTTTGTGTGCTTGCTTTGTAAACACATATACACATATTGCCTACTGCTACTAAAGCTGTCTTCTTCACACCAGGTGTAGGGTAATTGGCCATTTCCAGCACTACACCAAAACTTTGTTCTAGGTATGGAAAGAATATAGACCTGTAAATCAAATTCAATTATTATTACCTAACAAGTCTAAAGATGATGATAGATGGTTGTTTAATGTCCAGTGGCAAATTGAATGCATATTCAGGACTAGAACATAATATTGTGATATGAATATAACCACTGCTTTGTTCTACATTTGTTGTAGATCGACAGGCTGAGTCGGATTTTTTACATGCTAGTTCACAAAGTATCAGTCCGCAGGAAGACAAGTCACCTTACCCCGGACACAATATTCTAAATCCACGTTGACCAGTCTTGATTATTACTCCTAAATGACGCTTGCTTAGCGCATAAGCAGCAATTACAAATTTCAAGGCTTCAGTTTGGCCCGGCCTGGGTTCGAAACCACAACCTCCAGACCACCAGACTACCACAAGTCAAAAGAAGATTTACTACTAGAGCGGAACAGTTAAGTCTTGACTACATATTGATTATTACTGAATAATGTGTTGAAAAATCTGAGATCAAAATCACAGGGGGACGTTTTTAATAAACAGTAAACAAGAGACTCCTAAAAGTCAAAATCACTCACCTATCAAAAACAAATAAGGCATCAAAAGTGCACCCTTGTCTTGTTTTATAACCTTTCTTAGTTAAATAGTTACAATAGATACACATATGCCAAAGCTACCCATTCTGTTTAAAAACCCTGTAAATGAGAGGTGGATGATACCTAAGGGATATTAAAACGCATATGTCGATGACAAACTGCCAACGCCATAGTAAAAAACGAAAAATTACCAAAAAGACAAACAACAGTTTACAAAACACAACATAGAAAACTAAAGACTCCACCAAAAACCAGGGGTGATCTCAGGTGCTCCTGGTCCACATGTAACATCCGTATTGTTGCTCATGTAAGTACAAACTCTGTGACCATAGGTACTTGGGGACAGGACAATTTTGTTTTAGCCCTCCCCTTTTCCAAAATCCGGTTTTTTTTTCCTATTATTTTCAACTATTTTCGCGTTTTTCGCTATTATATTAAATATGTAAATTATCTAGAAATAACTTGTATTTGCTATGAACTATCAATTCCAAGTTTACTATCCACAGCCGTAACTGATATATTATATAGAGAGAAGGTATCTCACTTCGTAGCTTATCACCTATTTCCTACGTGAATTGTAGGAGGAATTCCAAGTCTAATTCATGAAATATTTAATTTCCTTCGGGTCAGTGGGCATGATTCGTTTCCGTTACCATTTCTCTTTTTGAGCAGTTGGCATTTTAATGAATTTCGACGTCTAACTGCAAAAGGATCAATTTTGCTCGTAGTGTGGTCATATTTTGATTCTTAAATGACGGAAGTATTTTATGGGTGACAATTCCAATTCCGCGCCAAATCCGGTTCACTGAAACAAATGTCCCGAATGTTATTGTACAGCACGATAAGGTAAGAGAGTTCTTCTGATAGATAACCTCCTCACACATCCGCTCCTGGAAAGTTGCTCCATAGAAACGAAAAGTTCAAAATTGGGAAGGTGACATCATCTTTTTTTTTTGTAAAGTTTTGTTATAAACCGCTCCGCATTGTCAATTTCTACATGTAAGTCAAAAAAGGAGACAGACTTAACTGTATCTGTTATATCCTTTAATTCAAGTTTAATGGAAATTAGTTGCATCAAACAAATAGTCATGAAACTTTGAATAACATGGAAAATATATTGTATTGCTTATAGCTTTTGCTGTTTACAGTTTCTACCTATCTATCATATTTTTCAAGATAAAATATTTGTCAAGGGTTCCGCAGAAGTTTATTGATGACTGTAAAAAGAAAGTCCTTTTCTCAATAAAATACAGAATTTCTTTTCTTTAGATGGTATTTCTTGATCTAGAAGATTAGCTTCTGTCCAAGATTAATAACAATCCATGAAGGTTTACAAACATATCAAAAATTTAATACCAGACTGTCTGTAAATGTTAACAACAAACAAAAGGCTCTAAAAAGCCTGTGTCGCTCACCTGCATCTTCAACAATTGCCACTTTTTTTAAGTAAAAAAAAAAAAAACATCATTAAAGGGGAATAACTCTATTAAGAGTTAACTAACAATTTCAGTCATGTTGACATATTTGTAGATCTTATCCTGCTGAAATTTTTTTCATTTTTAAAGTTTCTATTTATCTTTTATAGTTTTAAATATATATTAGGAAAAATGCTAAATTAAAAAAAAATTATCATTAAAGGGCAATAACTCCATTAAGGATTCGAATGAAGATTTCGCCTATTATGGCTACTTTGTAGAGCTTGTCTTGGTGATCATTTGTGCTATTTAAAGTGTCTATCTAACTATTAGTTTTCAAGAAAATAGGCAAAAATGTGAAAAAATGTGAAAAATCGTCATTAAAGGGTAATAACTTCAATAAGGAGTCGACTCACAATTTCGGCCTTGTTGACGTATTTGTAGATTTGTCTTGCTGATCATTTTTGCCTTTTAAAGTTCCTACCTATTATAGTTTATAAGATATTATGTAATAAAATGCTCCACGGACGCAGCTTGATACGACTGCAGAGGCCGAACCCTGAACGGTTGGGGCAAGTATGGGCATTACATTAAAGCTTGATACAGTAGTGGCTTTAAGGGTCGAAATTGGCCCCATGTCAAAAGTAGATGATTTTCTCTCAAAATATCTTATAGGTGTCTGCTTTCCAAAATTTTATATATATATTTTGTATATATTACTTGAAATCACTGAATATGACGTCGTCAAATTGTATTCCTTAATAAATACCAAACATAAATTTTTAATCAATTTTAAACCAGTGCTGTTATTATTTCACGTATTTAAGTTGACAACTTTAAACAAAGAAACCTTCTTATATACAAAATATTACAAGGGGATGTTCTATGAATAAATGTCAGAGTAATATACTTTCTATTTTGTTGTCTCTGATTATTTGTAATTACCATGGCAACTGTTACTTTGGCTTCAAAAATATATTAATATATGCCAACATTTACGTTTTTGTCGATTTTGCAGTGTTTGGAAATTTTGTTTCAGTGAAAAGAATCAAAAATATATTCTTAAATGTTATTTCTGAAATAACTAATAATTTGAAACGCACATTTCAAGATGACCTTATTTTATGATTATGTAAACACAAATTATCCAATTGCCTGGAAACAGAAAGAAACTTTAGTTGATGTTCTATATAGAATACAATTTCATTCTATATATATGTGTTTGAAAATTTGTGAGTGTGTGCATTTGTCATTTTGAACAGGAACGATTGCAAACATTTTGATCCGAAACTGTTCAACAGAGTTAAAACCCATGGTAATAGGTATTTCTATAGTAACCACTACCTAGCAACAACATTAACATATTGAAACATATCTTTTAATGAAATTGTAATTTTAAGAAGAGAAAATACCTAAAATACGTACCACAATGACTGATGTCAGGTTTTACGTATGTTTGTTGTAATGAAAAGAATTATGTATAAAACACAACTTAACCAATTAGTACGAGTTAACTATTTAATAGAACTTTGTATTTGAGTAAAACCCTAGGTTTAGATGATGTTATGTAGTGTTTATTTAAATTAAATAAAGTATTAATACAGGGGAACTTGCTTTTTGCAATTTGCTTACATACTTAATTACCGTCTCCAGGAAGTTTCATTTAACCAATCAAGGTTGGATATCATTTATTCTGCAACCCTGTTCTTTAATTAATTGTTATGATTGGTATCTAGGATGCTAACCAATCTTTGTACTTGATTAATTATAACTATCCAATCAGATGGTTAATTGCTGTCTTTGTTTTATCACAAGCGCGCTTGATCACTTTTGAATTTGCACAAAGCGTGTGCAGGCGTTTATTCTATTCAAGTCGCATTTTAATTTTTATTACCTCCCACCGCACCCCTGGCAGATATGTTTTACTTTTTTCATAACTTTGTGTTATTTTATTTGTGATTGTATTTTTATCTTGATTTGTGTAATTTTATTGTTTTTATATTGTTTATATTTCAATTCATGTATAATTGTAGTTGTTTAGTTTCAATTTACATTTTGATACCACAGTTGTGTTGTTTTCAGCTTCCTGTTGTGGAGTACCACAGACTTATCAGTGAATTGATATTTGCGATAAAATTAACTCTATATGATTCTTTCATTGTTCATTGTCATTGTTACTTATATGATGAAAGAAATTAATTAAACTGTGGTTCGTTTGCCCTTACCAATTCATACTACACATTACTATAGTTATCATATGAAGTATTTGAAAAACATTGTTATATACAATAAGATGAAAAGTAGAAAATAAAAGAAGAAAAGTTCTTCACTGGAATTCTAAAAACGTGCTTCATCGATCTATCTATCACTTTGAGTTGCTGCAAATGTATTAAATGCTAATTGTGATATTGATTTCATTTACACTTCGGTTACCAGAACAGTAATGAATAAAACAACGATTTAGAAGTATGTTTAGAATTCAGTTAGAATAGTTATCACAGGAATTATGTAATTTTGGCAAGATAATCCTAATTTTTAATTTTGACATATTTAACATATCTTTGTTGAAGAGAATATGGTGACATTAAGTTGTCTTGATTTATTGTGTCCATAAACGGATCTCTATATTAAGAAATGCATCACAGTCGGTTTGGTCAATCGTTTAGTTATCCGAATTGGTAAAACAACTACCACTAGGCTAACCCATCATATCCAAATTCATCATAGTTATTAAACGTATTTGTAAAGAATATGTTTAAGGAGTTAACTGACCAGTAAAATCGACCTTTCACTTATAAAAGAAATGTGTTATCTCTGCCAACTCATTCACAAATAGAATAAAACTCAGAACGATTTTATATATGGTTTGTAAATGAACAGAGGGTTTTACAGTAACAGACACATACTATACATTATATTATATGTCTCTAACAGTAATAACTTCTGTTAAAATATAAATATTCTAACACTAAAATTAGGTTCAATTCAACATTTTTATCGAGGATTTCCGTCTGTGTAAGAAATCATGCTCTTGAACTCGTGAAAGGGGTTTATACATGTAAAACCTTTTGTTGTCATGACTGTCACCAAAGAAAGATTTAACATGATAGATTGCAAATAAAATGAAATACAATATTATATATGTCAATAATATTAGTAAGTAAATGACAAAAGTTTAACATAAGCTGTCTCAAGTAGTGGTCAATAACATGTTAAATAAAAACTAATGACTTTTCGAAACTACTGCTACCAAAATCTAAGCATGCAAACCTGATCTTTATCAACCTGAATCAATGAAAATTAATAAAAACACTGAAATTACTCAAAATGTAGCTTTACAAACGATCATGCTAATTAAGATGGTAGGCCTTGGTAACCCCAAAATCTTCCATTCATTTAATTTTTCTTACACCATTGAAAGGGTAAGGGTCTATGCATCATCTGCCAGTCTTGTTGAAATTCAATATAGCATTTTATGTTTTGTGTATATAGTTTATCATTGAAGATGATTATGGTGGACGAAACAATATTGCATCAAGATTTAGTTTTCTGAAGATTCTGCTAATGTTTAGGTCATGGTTCTTAGTGTTAAATATTATATGTAAACAAGAGAAAATGTGGTACATGACATGAAGTCCCACATGCACATGTTACATAATTATATCTGACAATAGTCAGAATTCTCTGTTTAGATGGAATTTATATGTATATTGCAATAAAACATTCAGAAGTTCAGTTTAAATTATATTTCTGATTCTGTGAACACAGTTTAACACAATTTCTTCCAAAGTACAAAGCTTGCATCTATAAATAAATTTAAACCATTAGAACTGTACGGGCATATGAGCACTTCCCATTACAAAGGAAGACAATCAATAACGACATCAATTTATTTAGAAATAGTTCGTTTCTATTAAGAAAAAACAAAATGTTCTTGTCTGCAAAATTGCAATTTCATAACTTATCGCTTCATCTCCTGTCTGAAAATCATTGAACATGTGTAAATATCTGATTATGCATGGTTTTGACAGAATTTTCATGAATATATTACAATCGAATTTACCAATTTATTCTTATATCCAATTTTATACATGATCAATTTTCCATTAAACAGTATATAGGAAAGGGTTTGGCGTTATGAAATAAAATTAATATAACCGATATAGTCGTTTAGTCGATATCTGATTAGATGAGGTCTACTGTACTAAAACAATGGTAAAAGTCTCATAACTTCTGTTAAAATGATCAAAACAAAATGGTTGTACATTACAATGAACTGTACATGATATAAAAAAATCCTACCAAGGAAGAGAGCTTTCTGTAAAATGAGACATTGAAGAGTTACGTATACAAGGTGCCATTGTTACAATATTAAAAAAGGCCAAAGCCCCATAACTCCCGTACAAAAAATGTAAAATCGAAAAAAATCCTCATGACAAATAGACCTATCAAGTATGAAAGCAGTATGTCAATCGGTCTGCGATTATTGATGTGTTTCAGACAGACAGACAATAACCATATACCTAAATATGGTATGTAGATGATGTCATATCACTATATAATTCAAGGTTTGGTGACTATGTTTATATCCCATCCAACTTGAACTAGAGAACACCAGAGATACAGTTTAGCATGCCTCATATATATCTTGACTTGCATCTAGAAATTGACTATGAGGGTCAGTTGAGAACTTTACATTAATAAAAATGATTTCAGCTGAGCTATTGGGAAATTATATTTGTATGTAGCAAAATTCCAGCAGCCCCTGCATATCAAGTATATATCTCCAAGTTGATACGATATTCAAAGGATTGTTTCATCTCATTGAGTGATGGTTGCTGCCAACAAAAAAATTATTGAACCAAGGGTTCCAAGTTGTAAAGCTGAAGTCATCTTTTCAAAATTTTTACAGACACAGTCATGATTTGGTTGACCATTATGTTTCACAGTTGAAATTAAAGAAACTTTGTGAGCACGCTCACATACCCCACGCCCCCACATTGTCACTGGGCAAACAAAATATCACCTGGATCCTAAGTTCAAAGACTAATAACTCCTACAAAAGTCAACTGATAAAAATTTCTTGAAGATATGCACATCTACATATTATTTTCTTATTATCTTCAAAGTTTCATGAAATTCTGTAGCATGGTTTCAGAGGAGTTCGGATGACAAACTGCTGCAGTAGTATATTTAGGCCAAGATTCTAAGTTCAAAGAGGCATAACTCCTAGAAAGTAAATTGAATAAAATTTTCATGTTAATATGCACATCTAAATAGTATGCCCTAACTATCTATGAAGTTTCATGAAATTCTGTTGTGTGGCTTCAGAGGAGTTGTGACGACGAACTGTTGCAGAGGTATATTTAGGCAAAAATTCTAAGTTCAAAGAGGCATAACTCCTAGAAAAAAAATTGAATCAAAATTTCCCGTCGATATGCACATCTACATAGTATGTCCTAACTATCTATGAAGTTTCATGAAATTCTGTTGTGTGGCTTCAGAGAAGTTGCGATGACAAGAACAGGACTGACTGACGGACGAACTGACCGCTCAAAAACATTATACCATACGGAACTTTGTTCCGTGGGGTATACATAGATATGTTCCAATTTTCCCATCTGGTCCCCTCGAGATCACTCTTGGTTTTGGAGGGGTTCATATTGTTCAGGATTTAGTTTATCAAGTAGCGCTTTGTACTCTTTTTTTTGTCTTTTTGTTGCTTTTTCTTTTTTATCATGGTATTGTCAGTTTTTCTTCAGAATATGTTTTTTATTAACCCTTTGGTATCATATTTATTTTTATATCTCTGTTCTAAGGCAATTACTCCCAAGTTGTCATTTTTTTTAACATAATGCACATTGTGCAGATCTTGACAATTTGAACATTTTTGTCCCCTCCAGATTTTCTCTATCTACAATGCTTTTAACACTTGCATTTTACCCCTATATTCTGTTTTGTGCCATGGTTGGACATATATTTTGTGCTGTGGGCATAATTGAAACTATTTTGAAAAGTTTGGTCCAGATTGGCCATGTGATTTAAGAGAGTATTTTTAAGTTGACGACAGATCCCACATGATGGCAATAGTGTTAATGTGTATCAAGTTTAAAGATTCTGAAAGTTATGGTTGCAAAGATTATCCTGGAAATTACATTGAGCAAGGTATGAAACTATGTACTGTAGTCTTTTATTGTTCATTCAACTAATGATGTCAAATTATATGTTATCAAAAGCCAACAGAAAAGCAATAATTATGTAAAATTAGATCTACAAAATGTACTACATTCAATATAAAATACTTGATTTTACCCTGCATTTCCGGCCAATTCTCCCAATGCACAACAAGCATCTTCTTTTTCATCTAAGTAGGAATTCTCTACACTTATTCTGTTAATAAAGAATTTCAACATGATTTACTTTTCACAAAGGTCTGTCTTATTTACAAAATAAACATTGCATTAAACTAAATGGCAAATGATTGAAACAGTCTGTGAAAATGAAGCAAATCCTAAACCAATCATATCATTGTATACAAAGTGCAAATCCTGAAATATAATTTTACGGTATGTCATGTATTTCCAATGTAGATTGATACAAAAACAGATGGAAAATTTATGATTTTTGAATAAAATAAGAAATAACATATCAAATGTATTGTCTTTATAAATTCATGATACAGGAAAGACATGTAAACAGGTTTTTATTACTCGTACAGACTCCAGGTGTGAAATTGATACACAAATGGGTAAAAATTAACAATATTTCATGAACAGAGGATGCAGGATATCAATCAAAGTACTGATGGACTGTTTACTCGGATACACCAAATATATGATGGCTGGCGAATAAATGGCATACAGAATTTCATATCCCTGTAGACTGTTGGAGTAAAAAATGAAATAAACACATTAAAAAGTTCATGCGTCCGTAGCGCTTTTCTGGATTTACCTTCATCAGGAACGCTTAAAGTCGAATATTTGAAAGACAAGGATGTATAAGAACCAATAACTTGCAGTTGTTTTCTTACATCCAGTGTCAAATATTTCAACCATATTGAGAACGATAACATTTTAATAGTAAAACAATTTGGTAGGTTTTGTGGGCACAATCAGAGGGTCGACAGGGTTAATCAAAAAAGAGAAAGATGCAGGGCACTTTCTGGATAATAAATTCAATACACTATTCACAATCCGATCGAATGTAGTTGTGTATATGAGACCAAACCTATTCTATACTATTTTTTACTCAATTCGCAACAGTTTGAAAATGTTGGGACTTCCGGGCCCCAAAACATTTTTACAGGTTTATTTTCCTTACTTTTAACACAGACTTTATGTTTTATTTATGTTGCCAGTATAAATAGTCATTGATTTTGTTATAATATATATTAGACCCCCCCCCCCCCCCCCCCCCAAAAAAAAAGAAGATATGCACACACAGTGGTACCCATTGACACGAAACATGAAGAATTTGGCACTATTAAGGCTACCTCAAGTAAAACTAAGTTTGACGCCATTGATTATTGAAGTTATAAAATTCTATGATCGTCCAACGTGTGAAAAATGGACAGTTTTGGACGATTTTTCAACAAATCAAGTTCAATAACTCCGCAACGTCATATCAGAAATTTATATATAAAAAAAGGGAGCTTATTTCAATAGATATAAACAAGTCACCAAAGTTTCATAAAAACTGCTCAAAATGTTTTTGAGTTATTGTTTAAAAAACTGGAATACCCCTTTTTTATGAATAAAGTCTCAATACTCAAAAACGTAATATCAGATTTTTTTTTTATCGAAAGGGAAAGTATGACAATATATATAAACAATTCACCAAAGTGTCATGAAAGTTGTTTAAAGCATTTTTGAGTTATAGTCAGAAAACTGGAAAATCCCCTACTTTTTATGAATAAAATCCCATAACTCCGAAACGTAAAATCTAAAATTTATAAAAAACGAAAGGGAGCTTACGTCAATAAATATAAACAATTCACCAAAGTTTTATGATTATTGTCTGAAGTGTTGACGATGGACGGACAGATGGACGGACAATGGTATGCCATACTACGTCCCGTAAACGGGCGTATAAAAAGCATGGACATGCAATATTGGCAATTCAATGTTCAATGTTTAAATTTCGAAAAAAAAAACGAATTTGTTTGCTGGACAACGAATAAAATTAATACTTTCTCAGCTGTTAGAAAACATTTCTGACTTAGACCTTTTGTGATAATTTTTTAAAAATTTTACAACATGTCATTTGGGATGCATCTTTATTGAAATCCATTCAACTGGCTAAATTTCAGTCAAAAGATTTGTCTGTTTTGATCAATAAGGGTTAATAAAAATTCATATGTTAATACATCTATGTACAATCATTTTATCGTCTGTTGAAAATTAATCTTTACATTTTCATACTCGAGAAGATTTAGAGCTTGATTTGCAGTTAAGAGGATTTTAAAAAAAACCAGAATGTCTATATATTGTGTGAGTGTATTCATATTCATAAAAGGTTGATTTGATTTTTAAAATCAAAGAGGCAAGGCCAAAATTGTCCCTGAATTTATTTTTCAATAGCTGGCATTATCAAAAGTCTTTCTTTCTATCTTTATTTAAATAAACAGTTATCAGAGCTTTGTGTGTGTACTTTGAGGTACTCACAATATTATGGCTTATTCTAAATAGATAACCAAATTATAAATGCCTGAAGATACACAAAACTGTAAATTTGTGTTTTTATCCAAAAATGTATAAAGCACATTCAAATTTGTATATTTATCCAAATATGTATAGGAAGCACATTCTTAACCAAAACCAAAATTAAGTTTGAAGCATAGCTATATATTGTCTATTTTCATGTTGAATAGTGAAGTCCTTCGATGCAAAATTTTACAAAAAATATGTAAAATATGCAGTTATGTATCAAAATACCTGCAACATCAACATATAGCACCGACTTACATTTTTAATGTTATGGAAATATGTTGGAAAAATTGTTGGAAATTTTTTAAAGAATATGATAAAGACTCTTATATTTGAATTCCAGTAGGATTTTACATTTTGACTCTGAGAGTAAAACAAATACCAGCAAAATTGGCCCTACCTTTTTCTTCATAAATCTCAATTCAGATTTTCATGAGGAATCTTAAAAATAATTTTGAAAGAATCAGAATCTAAAACCACTGATGTTGCCATTGAAATATTACGCACTTGAAATACAGGTTATTTCAAGACACAAAACCTTACAAGCCTTTACAAATAAAATGCTTCGCTGGGCGCAGCTTGATACGACCGCAGAGGTCGAACCCTGAACAGTTGGGGCAAGTATGGACACAACATTCAAGCTTGATACAGCTCTGAATTTGGATTGTGATTAAATATTTGACACAGCAAAGGTTTCTGACACAGAAAGAATGTGGTCTAAGAACTTCAATTTTTTTAATTTACCTATTATGGTCCAATGTCCAAAATCAAAATACATGGTTAGATTCAGCATATCAAAGAACCCCATATATTCAATTTTTGTTGAAATCAAACAAAGTTTAATTTTGGACCCCAACTTGGACAAACTTGAAAACTGGTCCCATAATCAAAAATCTAAACACATGTTTAGATTCAGCATATCAAAGAACCCCAAGAATTCAATTTTTGTTAAAATCAAACTAAGTTTAATTTTGGACCCTTTGGACCTTAATGTAGACCAATTTAAAAAACGGGACCCAAAATTAAAAATCTAAATACACGGTTAGATTTGGCATATCAAAGAACCCCAATAATTAAATTTTTGATGAAATCAAACAAAGTTTAATTTTGGACCCTTTTGACCTCAATATGAACCAATTTGATAGCGGGCCCACAAATAAAAAATCTAAATACATGGTAAGATTCAGCATATCAAAGAACCCCATATATTCAATTTTTGTTGAAATCAAACAAAGTTTAATTTTGGACCCCAATTTGGACCAACTTGAAAACTGGGCCAAAAATCTAAAATCTAAATACATGTTTAGATTCAGCATATCAAAGAACCCCATATATTCAATTTTTGTTGAATTCAAACAAAGTTTAATTTTGGACCCCAACTTGGACCAACTTGAAAACTGGTCCCATAATCAAAAATCTAAACACAAGTTTAGATTCAGCATATCAAAGAACCCCAAAAATTCAATTTTTGTTAAAATCAAACAAAGTTTAATTTTGGACCCCTTAGACCTTAATGTAGACCAATTTAAAAAACGGGACCCAAAATTAAAAATCTAAATACACGGTTAGATTTGGCATATCAAAGAACCCCAATAATTAAATTTTTGATGAAATCAAACAAAGTTAAATTTTGGACCCCAATTTGGACCAACTTGAAAACTGGGCCAAAAATCTAAAATCTAAATACATGTTTAGATTCAGCATATCAAAGAACCCCATATATTCAATTTTTGTTGAAATCAAACAAAGTTTAATTTTGGACCCCAACTTGGACCAACTTGAAAACTGGGCCCATAATCAAAAATCTAAACACATGTTTAGATTCAGCATATCAAAGAACCCCAAGAATTCAATTTTTGTTAAAATCAAACTAAGTTTAATTTTGGACCCTTTGGACCTTAATGTAGACCAATTTAAAAACGGGACCCAAAATTAAAAATCTAAATACACGGTTAGATTTGGCATATCAAAGAACCCCAATAATTCAATTTTTGATGAAATCAAACAAAGTTTAATTTTGGACCCTTTTGACCTCAATATGAACCAATTTGATAGCGGGTCCACAAATAAAAAATCTAAATACATGGTTAGATTCAGCATATCAAAGAACCCCAAGAATTCAATTTTTGATGAAATCAAACAAAGTTTAATTTTGGACCCTTTTGACCTCAATGTGGACAAAGTTGATAACGGGGCCCAAAAATCAAAAATCTAAATACATGGTTAGATTCAGCATATCAAAGAACCCCATATATTCAATTTTTGTTGAAATCAAACAAAGTTTAATTTTGGACCCCGATTTGGACCAACTTGAAAACTGGGCCCATAATCAAAAATCTAAATACATGTTTAGATTCAGCATATCAAAGTACCCTAAAAATTCAATTTTTGTTAAAATCAAACTAAGTTTAATTTTGGACCCTTTTGACATTAATGTAGACCAATTTGAAAACGGAACCAAAAATTAAGAATCTAAATACACGGTTAGATTCGGCATATCAAAGAACCCCAATAATTCAATTTTTGATGAAATCAAACAAAGTTAAATTTTGGACCCTTTGGACCTCAATGTGGACCAATTTAAAAACGGGGCCCAAAATCCAAAAACTTAATACACGGTTAGATTCAGGATATTAAAGAACCCCAAGAATTCAAGAATAAAACCCCATTGAAATTGATCAAGAA